GAGACATTTCACTGAAGAGGATATACAGATGGCAAATAAGCACATGAAAAGATGTTCAACATCATTAGCCATTTAGGGAAATGCAAATTAAAACCACTACGAGATATCACTTACACATCTATCAGAATGGCTAAAATAAAAACTAGTGATAACACCGAACAGCCAAGATGTGGAGAAATTGGATCCCTCATACTTTGCTGGTGGGAATGTAAAATGGGGCAGCCACTCTCGAAAACAGTTGAGCAGTTTCTTTAAAAACTAATCATGCAACCACCATACAACCCAGCAGTTGCACTCCTGTGCAATTATCCCAGAGAAATGAAGACTTATAGTCACATCAAAAACCTGTGCAGGAATGTTTGTAACAGTTTTATTTGTAACAGCTTAAAACTGGAAGCAACTCAGATGTCCTTAGATGCGTGTAAACAAACTGTGATACATTCATCCCCCAGAGTACTACTCAGCAATGAAAAGAAACGAACTGTGGATACATGCAACAACCTGGAGGGAGCTTCAGAGAATTACACTGAGAAAATCCAATCCTAAAAAAGTTACATACTGTATGATTCCATTTCAATCACATTCTTGAAATGACAAAATTAGAGAAATGGAGAGCAGATTAGTGGTTTCCAGTGGGTAAGGAGGGGGTGTGGGCAGAAGGGAAGTGGGTTTGGCCGTAAAAGGGCAACATGAGGGATCCACGTGGTGATGGAAATTTTTGCATGTTGACTGTATCACGTCATTATCTTGGTTGTGATGTTTTACTGTAGTTTTGCAAGATATTACCAATGGGGGAAACCGAGTAAAGGGTACACAGTATCTCTCTCTATTTTTTTTTATTATAACTGCATGTGAATCTACAATTACCTCAAAATAAAAAGTTTAATTAAAAACTAAAAAAGTGCACAAACCACAAGAAAAAAAAGAGATCAGTCTCGCCTCTGTCTAAAACCTCCAGTGGTGTTCCATTCTCTGCACATGGAGGGACATCAAACTCTTCGCCATGGACAAAGGCCCTATGCAAACTGATGTTTCTCTCCTACACTTCTTCCTTTGCCCCACTGCTTCTGTCACATTGTCCTTCTTCCTGTTGCCCCAACACACCAACCAGTTCCCACTAACAGCCTTAGCTTAGCATCTGCAATTCCTTCTCTTGGAATGCTCCGGCCCCGACCTCTGCCTGGCTGGAAGCTTTGGCTCACTTGGGTGGTTGTTCAAATGCTACCTCCTCAGGCAGACCTTGCTGAGCATCCTGTCTAAATCAGACCTCGCCTGTCCCACCCCCAGAGACTGTATCATCTTCCAATTTCATTTTTTTCATAGCCTTTATCATGCTCTGACTCTCTTTTGCTGATTTATTTCCTTGCGTACCTTCTGTCTGCCCCTCCCCGGGGACACAGTAAGCTCTAGAAGGATAAAGAACGTGCCTGTCCCATCACCACTGCAGCACCATGAGCACTCATGACTACTGAATGAATAAATGCCCAGAGGAATTATGTGCGGGAGAAATGGGCCAGGAGCTCTCTTTAAACAGGTGTCTTTAAAAAAATACTATATTGTTTGTTCCTGGGGAAATATAGAGACACTGAATTCCTTTGTAGTTAAAACTTAGAAGCAAGAGCAAAAAAAATCTGCAACCAGATTTCAAGTAAGGTCTGAACGTGCAGAAATCAAGGAGGGGAGAAGGCATACGCTTCACTTCACAGGGCAGCTGTATTTCTGTGAGCTGACCATAAAGGGAATTTATCTACTGGAATTCTGCATTCTTATCCACTACTCTGATAAAACCAGATATTCGTTCACACAGAACAGCAGATGCGACTTGAACAGGAATCCTTTAGCGGAGGGAGAAGGAACAAGGCGGGACAGTTGTGTGAGGTAGGGCTATGACTACCCTCCCGTAGGGCACTTTCTGAGGGCAGAGCTTTGCACCACTTTCTCAACTCTCTGAATTTCTCTGCCGCGACCTCTCTCCAGTCTTCTTTTGACCAAGGAATATCACTCATGCTTGGAGAATGCTCGACTTCAACTGCAGCCGTGGGAAATTGATCACCTCTTTCTTTCCTGCTATGGTCAGCGTACATGATGTGTAATACCACATTTCACCAGCAGGGGTTGCCATGGAACCCCTATCAGAGCAGACCCAACTCTTGTGCGTCCTTCCCAGACTGCCTTCTCCCGACAAGGAGCTGTCCCTGCCCCATCATCCCTGGCTGGCTCCCTGGGGCCCTTGATGATCAGTACAGCTGACAGGGAGCAGGCTCTAGTCCACAGCTCCTGACAAAGGCCCCTCCCTTCTTCCCAGCCCCCAGCTGCTGCTGTCAGAGCTGCTGGCTGCCCTTTGGGGGCAGTGGCTGAGTGGGGCACAACGGGCCTGCTGGAGTGCTGGTAATGTTCTATTTTTTCGTCTGGGTGCTGATCACACAGGTAGGTTTACCTTGTGAAAATTCATTAGACTCTACAGTTATGATCTGGGCACTTTTCTGTATGTACGTCATACTTCAAAATAAAGCTTACTTTAAAAATCCACAGATTAGGTTTACTTAATATACAAGATGCCTCAGTAATTTCTGGAATTCTCATTCCTAAAGAGAGGGAAAAAACCCACCAAAACACCAACAACCAATTAGAACACCGAGACCCTAGGAACAGACCTAAGAATGTTTTTCACTAACGTGGTTTCTTAGGTAACTCCAGGTGAAAGCCGTATTTATGTATGTATTTTCAAGCTGGGGGGTGAGGGCTGAGGGGCGGGGAGAGTTTGGTTTTGAAAGGCTTCCAGCAGGTTTCGCTTTCTGTTGAATCGCTGAGGCTCATTACCCTAAGGCCGGCACACCTGCTCCCATTTGAGGTCTCCCTAAGGCCGGCACACCTGCTCCCATTTTCTCGGTAGAGCTTGACATCAAGCACAAATCCAGCCCGCAGGGGGCCCTGAGACTCTGGGCTAAGGACGGGGCGCTAATGAGAACACCTAATGGGACTCGCTCTGGACCTCAGGCCAGGTGCTCTGTGGCTCAGAAAGCAGATGGGCCGTGTTGCTGTTGCTTTCCTGTGGGGCCACCCCAGCTGTCGGAGAAGGCAGCTCCGTGCTGCCCTCTTCAGTCTTGGCGGGCAGCCCATTGGCCTAGCCCAGTGGGGGAACCCACCTGTCCTTTTGGTGCAGAGGCCTATTTCCCCTGAGACTTCACAGGCTCCATTGTCTCAAACTGACCCCAGAGTTCCACAAAGCCTGTTCTGGGGCAAAGAGGTAAGAGGCTGGAGCCAGACCACCTGGGTTCAATCCCAGCTCTGCCCCTTACCAGCTGTGTGACCTTGGGCACATTAGTTACCCGCTCTGTGCCTTGATTTCCCCATCTGTTAAATGGCGATAAGAAGAGTGCCTCCTTCAAAGGTTGCTTGTGAGGATTTAAATGCATTAATCCTTATAACATGCTTAGAATAGTGTCAGGCATATAGTAAACATAAAATATATATTTTAGCTTAAAAAAAATCCTTATTTGTGTCTTGAAATGGTTTATTATAAAAGGGTTCCAAGGTCAAATGAATTTGGGAAACACTTGATAGCCTTCGTAAATTAGGCCCTACAGTAGAGAAAGTGGGGTAACCCAACGTTATCCAGAGGAGAGGAGCTGACATTCAGCCTCTTCACAGGTCGGTATTCACAGCTGGCTGGTGCCTGGGCTGCACTGGGGTGTTAAATATTTTGATATCATCCCTGCCGAGGGGGTCGTTTTGATAGGACACCCTTTGGGAAATACTGGACGTGCCACGTCCCCTGGTGAGGCCATCTTTATGATAGAGAACACTTACAAAGCACTCACTAAGTGGCAGGGACACTCTGACAGGCATTGATTCATTTTACCTTCACAACCAGCCAAAGAGGTTAACAGAGTATTGTCCCCATTTTCAGACGGGGAAACTGAGGCAGAGGGAAGTTAATTAAACTGACTGGGGTCATAAGGCTAGAAGTGGCAGAGCCAGGTTTGAACCCCTGCATTTGGCTCCAGAGTCCATGCTGTCAACCACTGTGCTGTAATGTCCTTCGTGGCCCAGTGGGAAGTCCTCGGGGTATGTGATGGTTGGGGCACCACCTCCTCAGAGCCTCTCAGGCGGACCGGCCCCCCTTGTGCTTCCCACGGCCACAGTGGTGGGGCATCTGTCATGGCCTCCCCCTGCACTGGGCTCTCCACCCTGATGGCTGGCTGGGGATGGGCACGCCACGGCTGTCCATTCTCCAAGTTCCCCACCAACACACACAATGCCACATGGCTCACCAGCAGGGACTGGATGTCTAATATGGTATTGCCAAACAAACGACCCCACAGAGATGTTTAAGAATTGATCTCACAATAGCTCAAGGGCTGGACTGGTGTTTTGAAGGGGCTGCAGCATTTCCCTGTTGCTGGGAAAGGAGGAATTAGGAGACCCAAGAAGAAGGGGTGAATCTCAAGGGGTCAGCGGTAAACTCATCTGATCCTCTATCCCTGAAAAGCGTTTCCCACAGCCTGGCTTTCCAGAAACCTTGGCAAGGTCTGCACCCCACTGATCTAGGGCGCTGCACCCATCTCCCCCCACTGGATTCCTATCCACGCAGGCCTGCTCTAGTCTCAGCACCTCAGGGACACCCTCCTTGATGTCTCACACCTCTCAGAGCCTGTGCCACCCAACTTAACATTGTTTATGCGCCACCTCAGTGCCCCTGGGGCACATGTCTTGATATTATATCCCCAGCTTTCGTGCAAGTTCCCTGGGTTAGAAGGTATCTTTCTACTTTGTCCCATGTGCCCAAGTGCCTTGGGACATAAAGGTGCTCAGCAAAACAGCTGCCCACAGATGAGTGTGCCAAGAGCTTTAGCCAGCTGGGGTCCCTCCACCACCAGTGGCCGTGACTGCAGCGACCCCACCCGAAGGGCAGGATCCGAGACTAAGGGACCATGGAGATGATGAACCTCCAGCCTTGTTCTCTGCTGATGACCCCAACAGCGTTAAACCCCTCGTACCTTGCTCGCTTTCAAGATCTCAAACATCAAGGGCAGGCCTTGGGTAACGAGCTCCTCTGTGTACTCTTCCTCCTGGATGGTCTTAAACTCCTTTAACAGGCACTGGATGAGAGGCCTGCGGTGTTGCTGGAAGGCGATCCGCAAAGACTCCAGCCACGTGTGCAGGGTCCAGGGGACACCTGGAAGGGGGGAGGGGAGGGCAAGGCAGAAAACAACCAAAGGAGAAGGCGTGTTTTTATCTGGAAGTTGGCTTTCCCCCAGGATATTACCAAATTATGAGACCAAGGGACTGACTTTCAATGAACAGAGCCAGTGTTGGTCTTTTCCCCAAAGACTTGCAGAAGTTGAAATTAAAGGTCATAATTCAATTCCCTTAACTATGCGTGTCCATGTCTGCGTGCTACTCATATTATTAGGGGCTGCATTTTACAACATATAATCATTGTGTAGGATATTGGCGTTATTATGCACACTACTTGTGCTTATTACATCCTCCTGAGTTCTGACTTCATTCGTCTCTATCCTCTCTCTGGGGAGAGAGAAGCTCAGGAGGGAAAGAGTCTTGCCCAGGATTAGACAGCACACCCACGCCCAGAAGAGAGCTTAGAGCAGGGGAAATCCATCAGTGGACCTCACATCTCCTGCTCTGGCTGGGACGGATATTAACATCTGAGTAAGAAGACATGGGAGGAGGCTGCTGCTCCCCTGTGCAAAATGACACTTCCATCTGCAGGCACTTCATCAGGTCTTCCTCCTTTAATAGAAACCTCTCCAGCTGCTGATTGCTGTGATCTGCTTCTCCCCTCTCATGAGGCACAGAGACTGTATCTCACACTGTTTATAGCAAGCAGACCATTCAGAGGCTCGAGCTTCATAATCATGCTAAGCAGGCTCTCAGGGCAAAGGATGAACACCCCACATACTAAACAGCCACCTTGCAAGAGAGGCCCGTTTCCAGAACAGCATCGGGGGGCCCCTCCTCAGGCCCTCACCTGTCTTGACCTGCCACACCCTGTGTTTAAGGCCCATTGCTAGGTCCTGCTGTTCCCATGCGGGGCTAAGGCCACTAGACTAGTGAAGTCTGGGCTAGCCTGTACTCCAGACGCACAGAGATGGCTCTGGGCTAGCTCACTCAAGGAAGAGCCACCCCTAAATTTTCCTGAGAGGGTTTTGCCCCCCGAAGCGCAGTGGGTGGAGCCCTGGTAGGAAGGAGCCCTCTCCTGCTAACTGTTGCCCGGCCGCCACATCATGGATTTGGGTGTCCTAACGCAGCGATTCCCCAACCACTGGGAACCACCTGGGATGATTGTTAAATATAAAGATTTCCAGCCTTTATCCATCCAGACCCTCGACAGCAGAGCCTCTGGGTGTAGGGCCTGGCAATCTGTATTCAGACAAGCTCCCAGGTGATTCAAATTCCTAAATTCCCAGGGTCCAGAGTTCGGGAATCATGGAATGAGGATGTGCGGATGGGTTTTTGGGGCTGGCAGGATGCTGCAGTCAAGGGGGTCAGGGTGGGCGTCCTAGCCTGGAAGTGTTCCAACCAGCAAGTGAGATATTCCCTGGGCCCCTGTGTGTGTATGTGTGTGTGTGTGAGACCTAGAGCCGGGCAGTGGTGCCATGCCCAGCGGCGAAGGGCGCCCAGACTGACCTATGCTCCTGATATCAATTGTGACATCCACGTAGCCATGCTCAGCGCTGTGATACATGGCCTCCCTCAGGGCTCTCAGTTTGGCCTTGCTGTTGCGGCTGGCACACAGGGGGGGCGGGGCTGTCTCCGCCAGGTCAGTCCCCTCGGCCAGAATCTCCTCCAGGGACAGGATATCACTCTTCTCCTTCTCTGGCTGAGCGAGCAGTTTGCGGAACACATTCCTGTCAATCATAAACCCAGAGAGGAAGACACTCAGAGATGCAAGGGCTTCGCCGGGGCAGGGGTGGAGTGGGGCAAGTGGGGAGACTACTCCCTTGGGACAAGGGGATGATAGGACCAACTCCAGGGTGGGGTTCCAGAGACCTGACCATGGGCGCTACGTTTTGGGGATGGAGGAGATGGTGGGGCGTGACTGGCCATTTTTCCTTGAGGACAACTTGCAACTAAATGCTTTCCTCAAATATCTAGAGGGCTCTAGAATGCTGCCCTTTTAACTGCCAGCCTGCACTCCGGCCACAGTGAATTTGCTTTACTCGGGGTTGTGTGTAACAAAATCTGATGGGGTAAATCCAGAAGGAAATGTAGATGGGGTGTAACCAAACTTGAGGGGTCTCATTATTTTTTAAATGGGTTCTTCTCACTCACGGCAGCCAACATGATCTACTCTGACCAACCCCGGCAAAGAGGGAAGGCTCTGTGAGGTGAAAGCTCGTGGGGAAAGGACAAAACAAGCCAGTCTGAGTGGACGTGCACAGCATGAGGTTGGCTCTTAGCAGAAAGCCAGCAGTTAAGGCCGCTCTGGCTGGGCCTGGGGCCTGGACTGCCTCTGGGCCCCACATCCAGAGATGTAGTGGGTCTGGGGTAGGCCTGGGAATCTGCATTTTTAACAAGCACCACTTGGGACCTTGTGGCTCCGGCCCATCCTAGCCTACCTGTGTCCGTGGGCTGCGGCCTGGCTGAAAGAGTTCATATCACCCTGGGGGGTTGTAGAAATTCCATTCCTGTACATGGTTCCTATCAGGGGATCCGCACCACGCTCCAACAGCAAACTAACCAGCTCAAAATTTCCTGCAAGCCCAGAGAAGGGGGTTTTATAAGAGGATAAAGCAAATACACAGTCATAGACACATCAAGAGCCAGGGCGGTGGAGATCCTTGGCCAGGATGAGAATCAGCGACTCTTACCTACGGCAGCTGCGAGCTGGAGGGGCGTTTCGGAGTAGTTCTCCTCGCCGTGCTCCACAGAGCCTTCCACCTTGGCCCCGGCGTCCAGGAGGAGCTGCGGAGGAAGAGTGGCCACTGAGATGTTTAAAGGATGTGCAGTATGAGGAGGCGTCAGAAAAAGTTGGTGGAAATCAGTGTGATGCCAATGTTCCTGCCCTCCCTCTGGGTCAGTGACCATGTGCACGGGGTGAGGGCAACTGCACCTCAGAGGATGAACTGAGAGCCTCTCGTATCTTCTAGAACCTCAGACTACTCAAAGCGTGGCCCACAGACAGCAGCATCAGCATCACCTAGGAGCTTGTTGGAAATGCTGGTTCTCAGGCCCCCCAGACCAACTCAATGAGAGTCTGCATTTTAACAAGATCTCCAGGTGATTTAAATGTACACTGAAGTTTCTAGAAGCATTGAACTAGAAGCTCCTGGCACCACAGTGCTGGAAGACTCCCTTTTGGGGTCGGTTACACAAAGCCTCAGAAAGCATCAGAGTGATCTCTTAGAGCCACAGAATCTCAAGAGTCCCGAAGGACTTTGGGGACCTCCTGGGCCAACCAAGGCAAGCGTCTCTTCTAGAACACCCTGGATGGCTCTGAGGACAGTCTAGCAAATGCTCAGTTTCCTAGCCAGCACGATCAGTTAATAAAGCCACACAGTGCGCTTCCAGGTTTTGCTTCATATCACTCCATTCTGTGCCTTCCCTAAGATATCTGGGCTTCTTAACAACAGAGATTCCGTCCATGCCGGATCTCACAATGAATGTGCTGTCAGCATCACTGATGTAAAATGGGGGGTGGGGAGGTGGGAATCTGCCTTCTGTACTCACTTTCCAGGGCTCCCCGAGGGCACAGCCAGGAGGGGCTGCCTACGTGGCATTCCATGATGCATTCGATGGTGCAGCTGCGGCAGAGGGGCGACCTGACTTCTGTTGGGCCTTGCTTGGCTGCCCGCTGCTCCCCTCCCTGATTTAAAGGCTGGGGATGCCACTGCATGTTAAGGGGTGGCATCTGTGTCCGGCAGGCCACCCTCCGACCCCTTCTTTCTTAGATTCCTGTACTAGGAGTGGACTGGGCATGATGTTCTAGAAGCAGAAGCCAGCTCTCAGCTCTACCTCCTGAAACATGACTTTGGATCTGTCTTTAGGATTCCCATGACCTAGGAAACAACAAAAGATTCCCGTGGAATTCTAACGTTGCCTAGTGGTCCCTGTAACGCTATTTCCTGCTCTGTATAATTCAAAGAGGACTGGACCACATAAAAGGAGGTGAGTTCCTGATGCACCTGAAGCTCAGCACTCACTATGGGGCAGGTGTGGTCATGGACCTGGACGTTGACCTCTTTTTTCTGATGAGGTGAAGACCAAGTTTAAGATCTAGAATGTACTGGATGGCTATTCATTGGACACCAACTTAACAACAGCCAGAAAAGGTGCAGGCAATACACACTTGTATGCCCAAAGGATCTCTAAGGAGGACATCTCTCCATACTCGGGGAGCTGTTTCAGAAGACATACGTGAAGGCCCTACTCTAGACCTCCTGGATCTGACTCTCAAGAAGTGGGATCCAAGCAAGCGTCTTTGGGAACCACTCCCTTGGTGACTTGATGCTTCTCTCCACTGCTTGGAAACTACTAGCCTCTAAGCCAATACTGGGGTCACACCTAAGGGGAGGTTCTAAGGTCTTACACCAGCCAGGTCTTATATTCACGTTCTGACAAGCAAAATGAGCAAATCCGCAAAATCACAGCTCAGGCCCCACCCCCGAGCAACCGGGAACCACTTCGTAGGTTTGCTCTGTGTGTGAGGCTGCATGTGGGTACGTGATAATTTCATATTGGTTAAAGCCAGGCCATATAGATCATTACATATAATATTTTCATTCACGTGATATGAATGTGCTATATTTAATTGCAGTTAACCAATATGAATCTCTTAGGGACTATGCATGCTGGGAGAGGTACAGATTTGCATAATGGAAGAGGTAACACTGAAGGTCAGATGTGGATAGGGAAATACGTTAATACCTGAACTACAGGAATATGTCCATGCAACACAGCAAAAGTCAGAGCCGTCCAATGGCGGGTCTCGGGGTGGACGGATGGATATTTATGAGGAGTACTGACAACCTATAAACAAATTGAAGTTATTTTCAAAATGTGACCTTCACAATACTGACTAGCAAATCTGACCTATCTGTGGCTGTGCACCTGGGCTCGAGATGTACAAAAGGACATCCTGAAGGTGTCTTGGGAGATGTTGGTGATGCGGGGTGGTGACTTTATGTCCTCCATGCATAATAAGGACTCCTTTGCTTCTCATCTGAAAGGAGTTAAATGGATTGCTTCTGACCACCTCTAAGGTGCCTTGGAGAAGCTGTAACGGCGGCTAGAAGGAGCCAGCTCCCCTACCTGTCTCCTCTTTCTGCTATGGGAGGATGGTGGTTCTGAGAGCCACGGGATGTCAGATAGCGTGAGATGCCACTACCATTACATCCACACCCTTAGGGGAAATTCTGATTCGAACTTTCAAGCCACAGAAGACCACCACCCATCTGACGGAGAAATGTCACTCTCCGATCACAGCTCACCCCATGCCATCCTCATTTCATTCTTCTGCTGGCTTCCTGGTTGACAAGGACTGTCATGCTACTCGAAACCTGGGCACAAAACCTTCCCTGGACACACCGTGAATGAGCAATCTGACATGGGTCTTTCGGGACGGGGGCCTCAAAATACCCCAGGCCAGGAGAGAGGCAGCAGGCCAGCTGAAGGTTGGGGTCCTGCAGGATCAGCACCCACACATGGCTTTTCTCCCGAACATTCCTGGGGCCATATAACCACATGCATGCTTCATTCAGAGAAGGTGAGTTCACTAAACACCCACAGGGGGAAGGCCTTGAGCTGGGAGCTGTGGGGTGGGCCAGAGACGACCAGAGAATCCCGCCAGGACCCAGGCTGAAGAGCCCTTGCAGGTGTCTGCGCAGGGCTTGAGGATTCAGAGCAGGGGTAAAAAAAAAAACCAAAAACCCAAATATTCGAAACTTAATAAGATCCAAAATGGTGGTTCTGGATCCAAAACTGTGTCTATTGCCTGCTTTCCTGAGATGAATATAAAACTCATTAATTAAAATTAAAAAAAAAAAGCATAGTACTAAGACTACAAGGGCATCTAATTTTAAACTAAAAAGGTTTCGCAGGGTGGCTGAGTTACGATTGCAGCATGTCAATCTTCCCAGCTGCTGAGGCTGCCAATAGCCAGCGGCTGGAGAGAGTGAGTCTTAAGACAGCATAGAACATGGTCAAAAAGTGTGATTTCACCTATTACAAGCCTTGGGGGAGTGGAGGGACCATATTAACCAAGTCCCAAACTTCTGCCAGGTACTCTATATTTATTCATTCCAAAAACTCTCTGAGACAGGTGCGATTATTCTCCCATTTTGCAGACGGAGACACCGAGGCTCAGAAAGGTTAAACCACTTGCCCAAGCACAAAAGCAAGTCACTAAGATGCAGCGGTTTCAAAATCTGAACTCAGGTGTCAAATTCTTTGGGGGTGCGCTCTCCACTATACCACACTGCCTCACGGTAGCTTTGCAATCAGCTTTAAGACCTGTGGTTTCAATTCAGCCAAGCGGGTGAGCCAATCAGGATTTGGTGGGGGAGGGTGGAGGATCTGGGGGAGCTACACCTCAGCTCAGGGACGTGGACCAGCATGGCATTAGGCAGAGGGAAAGGGCTGATGGCTCAGGAGAGCTCTCTCTGCCCCGATCCCAGAAGCGATGGATCAGCAGTGAGAATCAGAGACTCAGTACTGCTGAGCCAAGGAAAAGCTGGTGCTCCTTGCAGCTCTGTTGGTTGTTTTGAAATGAAACATACATATAGATAGCACCTTGGAGTTTGGTTGGGCTGGGGCCTCTGGATGGAGGAAATCCATCAGCTGATCTGACCTATTTGCTGGACTGAGCACCCTCAGCCGTTGCTCTTGGGAGAAAAAGCCCCCCCTCTCTTTGCTCGCCTTCCCCTGGGACTGCCAGGCCGAGGGGCCCTGCAGCCCTCTGCACCCTCACCTCCACATTCAGGTCAGCTCCGGCATCCAGCAGCATCTGAACCATCGCCTCGTCCCCTCGGACGCAGGCGTACATCAGGGGGGTCATGCCCTGTGGTGAGTTAAAACCAGAGAACGAAGGTTTACAAGGTGGCTGTGTCACTCAATGACAATAAACGGAAAATCTCACTTGTGTGGAGGAGGCTATGTCTGTACTCAAAATCCAGCATGTAAAAAATAAACATGAGCCCAGTGACTCATAAGGTCATAACCCTCCATGTTTTGGAACCCAAAATGGAGGTACGAATGGAACATAAATTGCCTTTTTTGCATTTATCTTTGCTTAAGCTGGAGGATTTTCATTTGTCTGTTTTAGGGTGCCACAGACCTAAGAATGTTTGCTGAAACAAGTGGCTGATTTCAACTTGCAGCTCTTAGGAACTTTCTGGATTCTGCAATATCAGCCCTAAGCTATCTAATTGGTAAACACTGTTTCCTTGACATTCTCTCGTTCACGATATAACAAGTGTCATCTTTGCTCTGCATAAGCTGTTGGTCAGTGTCAAGGGAAACTGGACGCCTCTGAGCATGGCCCCATCCCTGACAAGTGGTTTGACATGATCATTTACAAGCAAAAGGCAAGAATATTTGGAACGGTTCTCAGGAATTCCACATCTGTCCGTGACTCCTGCTTATTATAAAGGACCACAACCAACAGAAGGAAGGGATGGATTTCTTAATAAACAGTGTTGTGAAGGCAGCTATTTGGGAAAACGTTCGAGAGCCTTATTTCACAGCGTACACCAAATTCATTTCTCGTGTGACTAGAGGTATAGAGAAAAAATTAAAACCATAAAGGACATCTAACAGGTCTCTGGATCTGTTTCTAGGCGTAAAAGTAATGGAAGGAATCACAAAGGAAAATCATTACAGTGTTGAGGACACACAATTGAAAACATTATAAAGCAAATTAAAAGGTAAACAATAAATTGAGACATATTTGTCACATTGTAACAAAGGGTTATATGTTTATATGTAAAGAGCTCTTCTAAATAAAGAAGAAAAACAGTAAAGTGCCAATGAAAAACAGGCAAAAGATTACTAGGGAACACACATATAGTTGGAGGGTGTGTACCAAGAAACAAACTGGGGAAAGTAATTTGAGATTGAGAACCTTAAGGAAGGCTGATGTGCTTCAGCCACTATTTCCACTTTTAAGAATTTCCCTAATGCAATAATCAGAGATTTGAACAAAGACTTGTCCTTGTGTAAGTATATTTAGCTCAGCAATATTGATATAAGTAATGAGAAACAACCTAAAAATCCAACAACAAGGTATGGTTAACTGAATAAAGAATATGACCATCTTATGTAGCCATTAGAAGCACTTTTCTTTTTTTTTTTTTTAGATTTTTATTTATTTATTTTCCCCCCAAAGCCCCAGTAGATAGTTGTATGTCATAGCTGCACATCCTTCTAGTTGCTGTATGTGGGACGCGGCCTCAGCATGGCCGGAGAAGCAGTGCCTCGGTGCGCGCCTGGGATCCGAACCCGGGCCACCAGCAGTGGAGCGCGCGCACTTAACCGCTAAGCCATGGGGCCGGCCCAGAAGCACTTTTTTTTAAAAAAAAGAATATTTAATGATATTGCAAAGTAACTTTAATATAAAATATTGGAAAAAGCAATATATAATAAATTCTTGTTTTTTTAAAATAGTATAAATGTGAGCGCGTGTGTGTATATTAGGGCTCCTTGGTGTTGCTCAAGAAAATTATTAGCTGCTATCCCTTCCCTGGACCTCGCTACATGAGCTGCTCGTGAGAGAAGAGCTCCGTCTGTCCCCTGTGACTTTCTATCTGGGGCTCACATTGAAAGCTGCTGTCTATTTTCTCTGTCTGTGACATCTTCACCAACACGGGGTGTCTTCCTGACTGGTAGACACACGAGCCTCTCCCTGTACCTCCATTTCATGGGTTTAGGGGATGGCTGCCTATCTCTGAGATGCCTCCTAGGGTCTCCCTCAGAATGACTTTTGTGTATCTTAAACATACCCTGAAAGTTTGGTGAAAATCTGCCTGGACTTGTTCTGTGATACAGTAACAGACAGAGAGGCAAAGAACTAAATTTAACCATGCTGGAAAAAGAACTTGAAAGACACATACTAAATATAAATGATAGCTGGGTGATGGCATTATTTCCTTTCTGGAATAGGCCTATTTTTCTCTATTTTCCATTTCAGCTGCAATGATCATGTGCTAAGTCTATAAAGATGAACAAGGATATTTTTATATGATATTTTTAGAACTTAAAAAAAAAAACAAAACACCCTAAGTCACCAGCAGGGGGAGCCTCTGCCCAGTGCCTGCTGTTTCCCTCTTTCCTGCCATGGGGAGGTGCACACGGTTGGCGGGGGTAGGGGTGCCTGTTCAGACACTGGGACCCTGTACCTGTTCACTCATGGTGTTGATCCCATCGGGCCCCAGGAGAGACACCGCCTGCTTCACCAGGTCTGTCCGCCCACAGTTCAGCATCCGGAAACCCAGGTCCTGCTTAAACTTGGCTTCGATGGCCACTGCGTCCAGCTTCCGGGACGCGCAAAAGCAGTCGTCGGCCCTAAGGAAGGGAGAGATGGTCAGGTGGGTGGCTTCCCCAGGGACTGGTTCTGGAAGGCCATAAGAATTGGGAGGCACCAAGGAGATCTGGCATTTGCTTTTCATGTCAATTGCCTGTGCCTAGGGTCCAATTAAAATATGGATGTCTCCTGACTCTCTTTTATAACTGCTGCTGATCTGTCTTGTGTCTCTGTGCTCCCAAAGCATACTGAACTTAGTAATGGCTAGTATTTACTGAATGTTTACTATGGGCTAGGCACTCTACTAAACTTTACATGAATGAATTAGTTTAATCCTCACACAACCCCAAGAGGTATTTTCTTTACCCCTCTTTTGACCATGGGGAACAGACACAGATAAGGGGCCTGCCCAGGGCCACACAGCCAGCAAGCCGGGGAGCTGGGATGTGAGCCAAGGCAGTCTCTGAGAGCTGGCCTGTGCACCTACTGTGCCCCCGGTCCCCCGAACACAGCACACATGCTGCCTCTTTCCTCAACGGACTTCCCCTGCAGGCTGGGGACCTATGAGAGCAGGGACTTGTCTAGTGCGGCTCTGCATCCCCGTGCCAGACAGCGCACAGCATGCAGAGGTACTGAAAAACGTTAGCTAAACAAACACAGAATGGGTGGATTCTCTACATTCAGAGCAGAAGCAGGGCAGAGAAGGGGCAAGATGAAATGAGAGTGTAGCGGCAAGGGCCATCAGAAAGTAACCCAGCCAGCTGGGCGCAGCGAGAGTGGGTAGGGAAGGGGTGAGGAGGAGAGTCAACGGATTCAGGAAGGTGATACAAACTCTGCTCGTCAAGGATGTTACCTCCTCCTCACGGTGAACTGATCAATCATTAAATCACTGAGCAGCTGTTTGCGACAAGCTCTGCTCCAGGTGCTGAAGACACGGTGACACATGCCATTGCCCCTGCCCTGGGGGCCCACTGCCCAGAAGGGGAGAGGGCACAGGCACTGGTCATTATAATTCCACGTGGCAAATGCGATGACTGAGGGATCAGAGACATGCACCAAACGGACCCTAGGGGATCCAGCAAGGCTTCCAGGGGGCGGTGACCCCTGAGCTGTGTCTTAAATAAGGAGACAGGAGAAGAGAGGGCAGAAGGACTTCGAGCAGGGCCAGTGGGAGCAAGAACATGGAGATGAGACATGGCAGGCTGTGTAAGGGTAACTCTGGGGTTTTAGTGTCTCTGGGGCATAAACTTCTAGGCAGTGCCAGAGCTGAGGGTGGTGAGGTAGGCAGGGGCCAGATTACAGGGGACCTTTCCCTAATCCTTAAGGCTCTAGACTTTATCCTTAAAAGCCATCGAGGGTTTTTCAGCAGGCAGGAGAGCAATATGGTTGGATGGCCAACTCGAGGAGGGTGGGCCTGAGGAGAGCCAACCCTAGAGGTGGAGACGTGTCAGTGGTAGATAAACTAGCGGAATGGACAGAAGAAGCCACCGCCAGAGGTGAAGTGACGAGGGGCTGAGTGAAGGCGGTGGCTGCTAGGGTGGAGTAGAGCTTGTGGATTCCGTCTTCTCCACCTATAGGTGCCCATTTCTCAGATTATGGCCCCGGCCCCGAGCCTGGTGAACCACACACTTGCGTCAGCTGGAGTCAGCACTGTCCAGACCCCTTCATATTCCTTCCTCTTGCTAATTCACAGGGTGGAAACTGAGGGAAGGAGCCAGGTGTGGAGAATTCCTGGTCCCACTCCTGCCTCTAACTAACACCCTCTGTGGCATAAGGATGGGTTAAGTGTGTGAGGGAACGACCTTCTTTTTTATCCTTGGAGGAAATGAGAGGGGCTACTGTTCCAGCAAGTTTATGGCACTAAGGCTCCTGTTCATCAGTAAGGCTAGGATCTGGGGGAGAGTGCTTGAGGGGTGATTCATAAAGAGAGCCTCGGGAAGTAGGTGGGGTGGCTGTGCGCTCGACACATATCTAATTGGGTTCCTGAGATATCATTCATCTCTGCTGGCAGAGGAGCCTTGGGCAGAAGGCTATCCTGAAACAGGAGCCCAGTGATAGGAGATGCTAGGGCTCTCGATAGGAGACACTAGGGGGTTGCTTTTGGCCACCAGGGGGAGATGATGCAGTGAAGATAGAATCCAGAGGCAAGAAGCTTGGTGTTGATACGGGGTCTGCTCTGCATACAGGCTTCAGGGACTGGGTGTCAGGCCAGGACTCCAAGGGCCTTTTGTATGAGAGCACTGGGAGGAACTAAGAAAGGTACTTAGCGGCCCATAGTTGCCCAGGACCCTGGACTCCAGGATTAAGATCTTTTCATGGCAGATGGGTGAGCCAAGACCACCCGACACTGTTGAAAGACTCTCCAGGGAAGCCTGAGGGCTCCCCAGGTGGTGGGGGAGGACTAAGGACGCTGGGCCTAGCTTTAGACCACGGCATCAGCAACCAAGATGTGAACTTCTAGGGCACAGAACGGGGCTCTGCCATGAGGCCCAGTTCATGGGGCTTTGGACTTGAGAATCCTACAGCTGGGGTTGCCAGATTTAGCAAATAAAAACATTTTAGCACATACTGCATGAATCAGACTTACACTAAAACATTATTTACCGTTTATCTAAAATTGAAATTTAACTTTTAACCGGGAAAAGGGCAGAGCCGCTTGCCATGATCCAACAAGAACACGAAGAGAGACCATGGATCCTGCTAAAGTGTAGACAGCACCTATCGGCAGGGGGAGAGGGAAGACCCTTGGTGCAGCAGCAGGCTTCATCAAAGGGACCAATGTTCCCTAAAAACTGGTTAAGGAATAAGCTTCAGGCCAAATGGAGAGGACAGAGAGAGAAGGGTTAGAGCAACAGGGCAAGGTCCTGGGGTATCCATCACAGAAGCTTCCAGAGAGGGAAGGGTGGGGTCTGCACGTGCTGTACTGAAGAGTCTGGAGCCTTGATTGGGGGTGTGTGTGCAAATCTTGAGAAGTATCAGATTTGACTAATTGTCAGGAAAACCTTTCTTCCAACGGACTACTATCTCATTCTGGTAGAGGCTGTCTTGTGAGATCTAGAGCCTCCTTCTTGGGAGCAAAGATGCTATGAATTGTCATTGTCACTGAATTTGCAATTTCCTCTTTCCTGTCTGTGTCTAAGTCCCTTCTGCTTGATGCTTGATTGACTCTCTCAAATAATCATTTTTTTCTAGAGTCAAGCTAAATTCCATGCGACTGGATAAATGTCACTGAGCACCTACTGTGTGCGGGCACCAAGCAAAGGGGCTGGGAGGAGGAAGACACAGACCCCACCCTGTGTTCACTGAGCCCCCAGACTGGTAAACCAGTAATTCTGAGAACATCAGGAGAAGTGTTTAGCAGCTACAGAGGTCCTTGATTTTAATTAGAAAGAGACAAATGGCAAGAAAATTACTGTAGCTAAGGTGATGATGATGATAATTGTTATTAGAGGAAGCTAACGTTGAGTGAATACTTACTACTGAAATCTAAGCTCTTTCCATGTATTAACTCAGACAACGATCACCACAAGCCCACCGTGTAGGTGATATCAGGAGCGCCATTCCATTCCCCATGGAGAAACTGCCCAAGTCACAGAGCCAGTAAGCGGTGAGCCAGGGTTTGACCCTGGCTATCTGACTCCCCAGCCTGCCCACCTCTCTGTGGGACCTGGCACTTCTGTATCGTGCTGATGTGCCCACATATACCACTGCCTACTTGAGTGCGTCTCTTGGATGTCTCTCAGACCCTCAAATTTGGCATATCCAAAACGGAACTTTTAATAACATGTCCACCCCCCACCCATCAACCATGTCCTCCTGTCATCCCATCTCCATAAATGGCACCACTGTCTACCCAGGTGCTCAGGCCAGAACGTTCTCTTATGCCCATAGCCATTCCATCAGCTGTTGATTTTGCCACCCAAATCCCAAATTCCAAATCCACCTCTCTCCACCCCCACTGCCCATACCCTGGTTCCAAACGCCAGCACCTCTTGCCTAGATTATGGCAGTAGCTGCCTAACTGGTCTTCCTGCTTTCGTTCTTCTCTCCATCCAAACCAGTCTCTTACACAAGGTCAGAGTGAGCTTAAAGTGTAAGTAGGACCATGTTAGCCTCTGCTTAAACCCTTCCAGTGCCTTCCCACGTACTGAGAACAGAATGCAGCTCCTCACATATGGCCTACAGGGCTTTGCAGATGCGGGGCCCTGCCCTGCTCTCCAGCTTGCCTTCCTCCTACACTCTGCGCCAACAACTCTCCTTCTGTCCCTTCAATGGCCAGGGGCTTTCCTGTCCTGAGGACTTTACTCCTGCTATTCCGTCTCGCCGGCATGCCCTTCCCCTGGCTCTTTGCAGGGCTGGCTCCTTCTCACCCCTCAAGTGTGAACTTGAACGTAATGTCCAAAGGAGGGCTTATCTGAGCAGTGTCTCTAAGGGAGGGTATGCCCCTCTCCTGTCTTTACCGCCCCTCCCACCCCCCATCTCCAGGCCAATTTCATCTGTCTCCTTGTTAGCATCTTTCACAGTGGGTGACTATTTTATTTATTGTTTTTGCTTTTTTAAAAGTTTGTATTTTCTGTGAGAATGTCAGCCTTCGGGGGGCAGGACCACCTCTATCTCGTCTGCTGTATCCCCACAGAGCCTGAAGCATACGGCATTAACCCACAGGTGAGCCACGCATGACCCACCATCCACTCTTGAGAGCAGGTCCCAGGAATCACCTGTTTATCAAGAATCCATCGGTCAGGGGTCGGCCCGGTGGTGCAAGCGGTTAAGTGCGCGCGCTCCGCTGCGGCGGCCCGGGGTTCGCTGGTTCGGATCCCGGGCGCGCACCGACGCACTGCTTGGCAAGCCATGCTGTGGCGGCGTCCCATATAAAGTGGAGGAAGATGGGCACAGATGTTAGCCCAGGGCCGTCTTCCTCAGCAAAAAAAGAGGAGGATTGGCGGATGTTAGCACAGGGCTGATCTCCTCACAAAAAAAAAAAAAAAAAAATCCATCGGTCAAACAAAGTTAGTGATGGCTCTGGTTACTGAATTTTACC